TATGCTGCATCACATTATACGGCCGATGAAGTTAGGGTGACGCTCGCAAAAAGTTAAACCAGAAATTATTCTGACCTCTTTTAGAAACTTTCATTCAATGCATAGGGCTTTAAGGTGTACAAGTGGTGCATAGGTACATCATTTCTATTAAGCAAGTACAATATAAAGAACATGGAAACTTGAAACTTGAACTAGGCAAGGACTTGGACTACTCATGGTAGCCTCCAGAAATTTGGGACATTCAGTCAATGCTAGCATTCCGAGCTTGTTTTCCTGTGTGACCAATAAGTCGAACACGACGTTCACAGGCTTTAGGTAATATGTAAAACAATCAAAGTTCAACCTTCACCATTTCATTATGTAACTTGTGAAATTTCGTGATACAATTCCGCAGTGACAACATAGTGCTGCAAGCTAATCATTTCGAATCCCAAATTATTATTAGTGACCTTGCCTTCTATAAGAGACCATAGCGTCGTGTCCCACAGTCTAGTCAAACGAACCCCGGTTTCAACGAAAGGTGAGTAGCAAATGTGAGAATGATGCCAGCAGACAATCTCGCCAATCCGGCAAATGCGCGATCCGCAAAATGTTGTGAGCTCAGATAACCTCCATTTAGCTCGTTCCGGGTTGAAAATACCAGTGTACTCTGTCGGAAATGTCATACTATAGAAGAGCACAAATTGAACTGTTACCAATGATGGATTTTAAAACACACGAATGAAGTACATTAATTGCGCCACTAATTCAACCCAATATGGCGATTTAGAGGTATAAATATGGATGACTCAAGCAGCCAGCATCAATGTATCAGCTGTGCTTCATCTTCTGCGTAAGCCACCTCAATCGTATAATTTCGTACCAAATTTCGTGAGGATTTTAGATACTGGCGGTAAGTGCTGAAACTGCAATGATGACGACCTCAAGCCTAGTGAAAGAGAAAAAATTGAAACTGCACTTAGAAGGGTAGGAGCTTCGGTAAGTACCTGTTGCATCTTTCCAGCGCCTTCCACTTCCTTCCTCGTACCGTATCTAATATGATACTAGTTCAGTACAGTTGCGACCTTGGACACATAGTTGCTGTGTACGTATCTTTGTTGTCTAAGGGTTACAGCCTAGCAGATGCCGAAGGAATTCGAAATCAAGTGGAAGAACTTGAGAGGAAAGATCGCATAGCCTCTTCTATAGCAAAAATCATTTAGTAAGTTCGTTTCAATATATATCAGCATTTAGATCTAACGCTAAATCAATTTTAGTTCATTAGAGTCTGTTAACTTCGAGGATGCTGCAGAAAAATACGTGGGCTATACTCCTCTTTCGCGCAACCCTCAACAATATCTATGTCTTCTCGATTCAAAATCCGATGATGACTTTGATGGCTCATGAAGTGCAGTAGTATTGAATTCTTAGTTCCAAACGGATAAATAATCCCGCTCCGACTTTATTGTTCAGTTGGCATAGGTAC